ACACACGTGGGCTGAGCCCACAAGATTTCATGAGGGGAGCAGGGAGGGCTGGGGAAAGAGGAGGGCTCCAGGAGTTGGGAGGGCACGTGCCAAGACCTCGAGGCGGGAAGGAGCCTGACTTGTTCTAGGATCAGGCACACTGTAGCCTGTGCTTTCTTTTTTTTTTTCCAAAAAATTTTAAATTATTTTTTAAAATCCTAACCCGAGAATATTTTTCTATTTATCTTCAGATAAAGTGGGAAGGAGGGAGGGAGGGAGAGAGAGAGAGGGAGAGAGAGAGGGAGAGAGAGAGAAACATCGATGTGTCACATCAACTGGTTGCCTCCCGCATGACCCCGACCAGGGTCCAGGACGAACTGCAACCCAGTTACGTGCCCTTGACCAGAACCGAACCTGAGTCTCATTGGTCCGCGGGCGGAGGCTCCAACTGCTGAGCCAAACCGGCCAGGGCATGGCCTGTGCTTTCAAAGGGAAGCAGAGCAGATTCAAGGTGAACTTGGGGATGTCTGCCAGATCCCCCAGGGACCTAAGGGCTGGGTGGAGTCTGGATTTTATTTCATGTTTGGCGGGAGACACTGGTGTGTTTTGAGTGAGGTGGAGATGTGATTTGATTAATGTTTTTAAGACGGTTTTTCGTGGGCTGGAGGGGACTCCAAGGGGAGGACTCCTGGTGTCTGAGACCGTCATTGGAAGAGGGCCCCGGGGGCCTGGAGCACGGTGGTGGCTTGGGGTGCAGAGGACCTGGGAGCTCTCCAGAGAGGTACATGGTAGGGGGAATCCTGCTGGTAGATTCCATGTGGGGGTGATGTAGTGTTCATGGATGAAATGCTACAGCTTCCGGACCTTTTTCAAAATGACCCGTTTGGAGCAGGGAGCAGTGGGGCTGCGTGTGAAGTAAACACGGTCATGGCGAACGGCGGCTGTAGCTCTGGGTGCTGGGTACAGAGGCTCTCCCTGCACCAATCTCTGCTTGTGTGGTGTTTGACATTTTACGTAACACAGGTTTAGAAGAAGGAGAGAATTGCCACGCAGGCGCCTGGCGTAAGCCACTGGGTGAACAGTGGCTCTGTTTACTGCGATGGGAAAGACAGAGAGGAGCAGGCGGGGAGCGGTTGGAGCTCAGGGGTCCTGTTTTACCCACGTGGCAGGTTTCAATCAGACAGCAGAGGCAGAGGCCTCTGGGATTTGGGAGCAAGGTTCTGCCCCCTTCCTTAGGTATTATTATCATTTTGAGAGTGGTTTAGAGTGGAGCAGTAACAGGACAAACGTGTGAACAAGAGATGTTGGGAGGCTGGGAGATGGGAGCTGTCTAGCAGACACTGGGGGTCCTTGTTCCCTTCTCCACCTGGCTGTGCAGGCCAGGGACCCTCCATCACGAGGTGAAAGTGGGTCCAGGGTCTTGTATCAGCTATGCATTATGCACATAACAAACCACCCCAAAACTTAGTAGTGTAAGCAAGGATTTATTTCTCACCATTCTGTAAGTCAGCAATTTGTGTTGGAATCGACATGGTGGTGTGTCTGCTAGTTACACCTGGGGTCGCTCCTGTGGCTACAGTCATCTGTGGCAAGTCCAAACGGCCTCTCTCATATCCGGAAGCTGATGCTGGCTCTTGGCTGGGGGCCTCGGTTCTCCTGCGTGTGACCTCTCGTCTGTCAGGAGGCTAGGCTGGACATCGTCCCGGCATGGTGGTCCCAGGGCTCCGCGAGAGACGGGAGCAGCCGCAGAGCCTCGCCTCCACCACACTGCTGGTCCAGGCCAGTCTCGAGGCCAGTCCGGACTCAGATCCCACTGCTTGAGGAAAGGAGCTGAACAGAATTTGTGGCCCTATTTAATCTACCACAGGTAAGAGGGTCCCCAAAGTGACCAGAGCAGGTCATTCTGCCCTCAGTAGGCCCACGTCTGACACACGACCACCTTTCTCCCTCAAAACAGCATCATAAAAGGTTGGCATGCATTTTGCAGACCACTCTGTAGATATTATCAGTTAGGAAAGGCATTTGGCTCAGTGACTGATTGCATTTTTGAAAATGGCCACTAGTATATCTCCTCTCCCACATGCTAATCTTACGACATGATGTTGATATTGTAAGAGGTGGGGTCTTATGTTTCCTTTGAAACTGCGTGGAACTTCATAATAACCTCAACTAATAGAAAGGGGCAGAAGCGATGTGTGTGATTTCTGAGACTAAATCAAACAGGGCAATACAGCCTCCACCCTGTTGGTACACTTGTTCTTCGAACTCAGCTACCATGTTATGAGGAAGCTCAAGCCCAGCAGAGCAGCCCTCTTTGAACGTTCCAGCCCTAGTTAGGCCCTCGGCTCTCGGCCAGCACCAAGGCCAGACGTGTGAGTGAAGGAGCCGGAAGATGACCCCCCCGCCCCCGGCTTTCCGGGCTTTCAGCAGAGGCTCCGGACGTCCTGGAGCAGGGACAAGCATCCCTGTTTGCTTTGTCCAAATTCTTGACCCGCAGAAACACGGAGAGACAATAATAATTATTGATTTTTTTAAGTCACTAAGTTTTGGGGTACATTGTTTTTTTGTGTGTTTTTTCTTGTTTTAAATCCTCACCCAGGGATAATTTTTCCATTTATCTTCAGACAGAGTGGGGGAGAGAGAGAAAGAGAAACACCGATGTTCCCTCATGATTCCAACCAGGGACAGGGACCAAACTGCAAACAAGGTATGTGCCCTTGACCAGAATCAAACCCACAACTCTTTGGTCCAAGGGCTGACACTCCAACCACTGAGCCAAACTGGCCAGGGTGAGTTTTGGGGTACATTCTTATGCTCTGCTATCCTTAGCACTTGGCTGGAATTCTCAAGGTCACCTCCTGATCCAAGATAGCTGCTAGAATTCCAGCTATCGCATCTGCATTCCACACTGAATGCAAAAAGAAGCAAGAGGACAGCATTAGCCTTTGCCAATATTGTTTGTATTTCAAGGAGAATTCTTAGAAATCTCTTGCAATACATTCTGCTTATAGCTCATATCTTAAAAATTAAGTCACAAAGCCACACTTATATGGGCAAGGAAGGCTAGAAATGTTGCCTTTTGGCTGGGCTCACTGCCATATGAAGAAAAACCGGCTTTCTGTTTTTGAGGAGAGGAGAAGGGGCGGGGTGGGGGTGGTGGTGCTAGGTGATAGAGCAGGACAATGCAGAGGGAAATCTTCCCCACGCGGGGGAGCTAGCACCAGTACACTCAGCCTCCTTGAATGCTTGGGCACCATAGAGTTTTCCATCTAAGCTGCTTCTTTACAAAGAACTGACTTCACTCCCAAAGTGAGCTGAGGCACAGGGAAAGCTCTGGGCTCTACCCCGCCCTCCCCACACTGCCAGCGGGCAGCTGCACTTTGGTCTAAAATCCTGACATGCAGTCCTGACCTTGTCACCTCTCTGCTCAACCATGGCTCCAGTTTGCCCCCATTTAAGAACAAATTTGGGGGGGTGGTATCAAAGGTCTCAGCCAAATTTTCCATGGCTTTTGCTTCTACCTCCTCATCATGCCTCACTAAGACGCCTGCACCCAGGCCTCTGTGCAGGCAGCTCCCGCTTCCCAGAACACTCTCTGCCCTGCCTGAGCCTGGAGCATCCCTCCCATTCTCAGCATCCTTCTAGGGCCACCACTAGCCCTTATGGAGCCTTTGCACGAGTTAGAAAGGGGCACCCTTTATTGAGGCGATGCAGTGCCATGCCAGGGCTTGAGGAGTGGCCCGAGGCTGGATACCACCCGCACATGCCCCTCAGCCTGGTGCCCTGGCACCGGGAACACCCTGCACAGCTGTATGTGTGAAGATGCCGCTTCCAGGGACCACTCTACCTCCATCAGTAGGCGAGGCTCTTCCTCAGCTCACTTCTGTCTTCAGCTCCCAAGCCCTGATTTGGGGTCGCTGTTTCCCATTTTGTGTCCTCCAGCCTGCTCAGTGCCCACTCCCCCAGGGAACTGAACTCACGCCATGGGCCACAGCTCTTTGTCCTCACTTTGGGGGCCAGCCACCACCCCCTTAGTCCTCAGCACAGCCAGCAGCAGACTGGAAACCCCCCACTGCACCGAAGAGGGACCACTTCGACAAGCCTTGGAAGTGACGCAGATACCAGTTGATTGGAATCAGCTGCTCGGAGCCACTCGCATTTGAGTCTCAGTGACTCCAGGCTGGGCAGGGAGGTTCCCTCTTAGCTTACCCTGCTCCTGGGAATGCTGGAGCTCAACCCTGCCTCCCCTCCCAGAACCCGGGCTGGCCCAGTGCGCTGGTAGTGGTGGCCTTGGACCCACCCCTCAGGAATGCACACGAGACCTTCCACTTCATACCTTTTATTTTATCTGCATCTTCACTGCCTCCTCCCTCCCCCACCAGCCCCTGAGAGGGGGTGGAAGCCCCAGTTGGAAGGGAAGGGACTGCTCTTTCCTCCCTGGGGGAGGGATGATGTCCCCTGGGCCAGGTCCTACTGTCGGAGAAGCAGAGGCCTTCATGGCAGAGCAAGGGCATCGTCCAGGAGGCTGTGTCAGGCTGAGGCCCCTCGGATGCCCTGTGGCCCGGGCCCTGTGGGTCACCAGGAAAATGAAGAGCAGAGAAGTCCAGGGGGCAGTGAGGACAAAGCCCAGAGGGTGTGTGTGTGGCTGACAAGCAGACATGGACTTCGGTGGGGCGGGAACGGGGACCAGGGGATGTGGGATCAAGGTGAGCTTGAGAAGGAGCCTTGGGTTATAGGGGGTGCTGGATGCGGGATGAGGAGGGTCCACCAGGGAAACGGGGGGTGGGGGGGCAAGGTTGTGCTCCAAGAACCAGGCCCCCAGTAGAGGGGCCATGCTGCAGGGTCTGATCAGGGACTGGCCCCAAGCAGAGGCCAGAGGGCAGGTGGCGGGGGGTGGGGGGGACTGTCAGGGGAGGAGGATGAGGATTTTGGATGGGTAGTAGGGTCAAGCTGTGGTGCTACCGTAATCATGTAATCACCTCTTCAGCTTCATGGAGGTCAGCCCAGCTGGGCATGGCCCCAAACCATCAATATGTGCTCTAGTTGCTCGAGGAATCCCAGTGTGGCCTCGGCCATGCAGGGAAGACCCACAGGAGGCCCTGTGCTGCAGGCAACAGCTGTCCCTAGGACTCCTCCATTCTGGCTTTCTGGAAACTTCCTCCCCTGCCCAGCCTGAGAGGCTCCCAAGACAGATGCCTGCCATTGCAGGGGGTGGAACGTGGTGGTGGTGGGCAGGAGCTACGCTGGGACTGTTCTTAGACTCAACTTCAGTGGTGTTCACTTGCCCCCAAATGACCCCGGGTCACTGCATTTTGGTCTATTTAAAGACGCCACCCCAGCCCTCCCCTTGTGTGCTGGTCTGTGTTCCCTCCTGGTTTGGACCACAATTACTCAGGCATTGAAGCCCTTGGTGGGATGGTGGGGAGGGGCCACTCTGGGGCCAGAGGGTCTCAGAGCGCACCGTGCCCACCCCCCTGGCAGCCGCTGTCCCCGTGGACAATGAGCACCGGGAGGTACAGGGCGTCCTCGTAGCATGGCGGGCTTTCCAGGGGCTCTGTGTCCTCTCGGCGGCGCCCCAGCGGCCCCCCACTCAGGCTGCGGAAGACCCCGGGTGTGGCGCGGCCCCCGGCCCCCAGCGACAGGCGGCTGCGGCTGAAGGGCAGGCGGGGCCCACTGGGCCGGGCCGGGGGCAGCGAGTTGCTGCTGACCGAGCGGCGGCAGCGCTGGCAGCCGCGGAGGTAGGCGCCCGAGCTGGCGCCCATGACCACAGCCTCTGAGTAACTGGGCACCAGCTGCCGGTTGGAGCAGATGTGCCACTCGAGCTCCGTGAAGTCCACGGTGGCCACACGGGACAGCGGGGGCCCGCTGGGCACGGCCCCGTGTGGGGGCGAGCTGGCTCCGAACAGCTTCTCCACCTGGTAGTGCACGTGGGCAGTCCCGCAGGCCGCCACCACGCGCAGGGGCCAGGACAGCGTGGCCGCCGACACCAGCCAGAAGACCCAGGCCCGCGCGTACCAGGGCGGGCTGCGCGGGTCGGCGAAGACCATGAGCGAGTCGCGGAAGTCCACGTCCTTCAGGTGCATGCCCTCGCGGGCCTCCAGGTAGTCGTCCAGGCCCTCGTTGGCGCCGAAGAAGCGGGCCCGCTGCGTGAGGTACGAGGCCTCGGCCTCGGCGCTGCCGAAGCTGAAGCACTTGGTGAAGCGCAGCCGCGTGGCCGCGTGGTCAGCCAGGCCCACGAGCTCCTTGGAGACGTCACGCACGCCGTGCGCCGAGTAGTCAAACTCGCCCCTGGCCGTGCGACTGTCAGCCCTCTCGTGGTAGACCTGCGTGGTGGTGTAGGCGTCGCCGTTCCGGTAGCGGGTGATCTGGCGGGTGCGCCGCACGTAGTGGTAGCTGGTGGCCTTCCACCAGACACAGGGTGGCGCCTGCTGCAGCCGGTGGATCAGAGCAAGCACGGTGCTGGCGTCAGTGCGTGGCGCCTGGCATGACCGCACGTGGCAGTGCCAGCACTCAGCCAGGTAGAGGAGGTAGAGGAGGGACACAAAGGCCAGCGGGATGTACAGGTAGCCATCCGAGCAGGGGCTGGCTGCGTAGGTGGGCGGTGGGCCCCCAGCCCCATGGGCCAGGGCTGCCTCGGGCCCCAGGACCAACCGAGGCACGGTAGCCAGGCGACACCAGGCCACCACAGCGCCACAGGAGTGGATGAGCAGCGTGAGGAGCAGGCACTTCCAGTGGGACTCGCGGCACAGGGAGCTTCCCAGAGATTGTTTCAGGGGCCGCTGCTGCAGGGCGGGCAGAGAGGGAGGCAGCTCAGGATGGACTGTCACTTGTGCCTGCCCCTCTGCTTAAGCCCAGTGCTCTACAGATGAGGAACCTGAGGCTCTGAGAGACTGAATAATGCACCCCAGGCCTCACCCTTCTAGCTAACTCACAGTAGAGCTGCAGGATTCAAACCCAGGCCTATTTGCCCCAGTCTGTCCTCCACTGTGCCCTGTCATTTCTCAGTCAAGGGCATCTAGGACAAAAGAAACCTATCTCTGCCAAGAAAAGGAAGAACCTCCTAACTGGCCATTGAGAAAAGTGAGTCTGGTCCCAGCTCTGCCCCAAACTTGCTGTGTAGTCTTGGTCATATCCCTGCCCTCTCTGGGCCTCAATTCCTAGACCTGGTGGTGTGGGAGGCCAGGATGGCAGAGGTCGTAAGGGTAAAGAGCATGGGCTTTGGAGCCCGACTGCCCAGGATTCAGTGCTGGCTCCACCACTTACTGTATGACTTGGGCAGGTCCCTCATCCTCTCTGGGCCTCAATTTCCTCATCTGTAAACTGAGGTTGTTGAGAGGATTCAGCGAGATCGTATGTGTGAAGATCTCAGCACAGGGTCTGGCCGTGGGAATAAATATTATTACTGTTACCCTGAGACTTCCTCCAGTCCCTTGATTCACTAGGGACAGCAAGAGACTTTGGAGAGGTTTTTAAGAAAGTGAGAAAGAGGAAGAGCTGGGAATGGGGGAGGTGTGAGTCTGGGGGGAGCAGATGGAGTGCCAGCCTCCACTCCCCATCTGTGTTGATGGAGGGGGTGGGACACAGCTGCTGGGCAGCAGGGGCCACTGCCTGGCCCAGAGGGTTTGGCCCTCCCTTCCTGGCAGGGCTGCCAGCCTGGCATCCACCTCATCCCCAAGGTGCCTATGGAGAGAGAAAGGGGGAAGCAGTGGGGAGAGGAGGGGGAAAAGGGGAGAAGGGAGAGGTGGTCTGGTGGAAACAGCAAAGGTGGGGTTAGTGGGTCATCTCTCCCACCCCAGCCCCCCCAGGCCTTGAGAGACTTAATAAGAAAAGAACCACCCCCATCCCAGCCCAGGAGCCTGCCCTTCCCCTACATCACCCACCACAGGTGCACACCACTATCCTGACCTGCAGGGCCAGTCAGATACATATACCCACTCATCCACACCCCCCACCCACACATTTGTCACAGACCCACCCACCACAGATATGTATGCTGCCTGTTCATCCAAGACACACCAAACCCTCACCTGTGCCCAGAAAACAGCCCCCTATCCCCACACCATAATGTGTGCAGGTGCACACGCACACACACACCACAGGACACACAATGCACGTACACATTATACATTCACTGGAGCCCAGGGACACATTAGACCCTCACCTGACCACAGAGTACATTCTCCACCCCTATCCCTACTGCAATCTGACACCCACACCCTACAGACTCTACAGGAAAGACCCACCCATGGCAAGACACACTTACATGCACTCACACATGACCACTTGATCCAAGTCAAGGACCCACCAGACCCTCACCTGACTTTAGAGCTCATATGTCCCACCCAAGGTGTGGGGAGCATGCACCAACATTCACACACCTACAAGCACACTACATTCACCCAAACACACATAGACTCACTCACCACTTATCACCCCAACACCCCACACTGGGCCCCACACCTCTGAGGATCCTCTGGCTAGCTAGGGCTGAGGAGGGGCCATCCTGGGGGTCCCAGTCAGCAGGATGGGCCCTAGGGCCTCACACCTGGGTGAGGGTGCAGGGGTACCAGAGACCTCCTCCCTTCCTCTTTTCCCTCTTCCCTCCACTACCTCCCCCCCAAGTCCCTGCTACTGCTGCTGCATTGCAGGCTCCGCCTGGGCACCTCGTGAGCGGCCAGGACGGGCTGGGGGCCTGACCTCTGGGCCCTGGGGGTGAGGGGCAGCGCTGCGGAATGGGGACGCAAGGGGCCAGGCGCTGACGTCACAGGAGGGCAAAGCTGAAACAGGGGATGTGAGGGCCAGTAATCGCTCCCCACATCCCTTCCCAGCTGCCCCACCCCTGCACCCACGCCGGTCCCTAGGCACAGGGACCCCTCGACGCAGGCTACCCCAATGACGTCATTGGCCGCAGGGCTCCAGGACTTCCCACTCGAGCCCTCGTCCTGGGATTCGTCCCTTCCCTTGTCCACCCCCCCCCCCCCCGCTCCGACCCGGCTCCGGCCCCCACCACTCAGAGCTGTACCTCCTCCCGCAGCGGCTCGCCTTCCGTGATGAGTGCGGGCACCTCCCCGCCGTCAACACCGCCGCCCTCGGGCATGGTGTCCTGGCTGCTTGGGCGGCCCGGGCCCGGGCCCCGGGCATGATAGGGGGGGGGCGCGGAGGGCTGCGGCACGGCCCCGGAGGGCGTCCGCTCGGCTCGGCGGCCGCGGAGGGAGTGCGCCGATCTCGCTCGAGCGCGGTGGCGGCGGCGACGGCGTTGGCGGCTTCGGTGCCCGGCGCCCCGCCCTCCGCTGACCCCGCCCTCGCGGCACCGGCGGCGCCTCCAGCAGTGCCTGGTACCGCGGGCGTTGTCCCAGTCCCCAAGCCCAGGCTGGTGGACCGACGCCTGGGTTCTCCTCCTGCCGCGCTTGCGAACTTGGGCCTGTCTTGACTCTCTGGGGCCTGAGTTTCCCCCACTGTAAAATGAGGAAGGAAAATCTCAAAGGTGGATGCGTACTTCTGAGGAGCAGGCCTAGGTCCAATTCACCCAGACCCCACCCGGGAAGCCTTGCTTGTAGGAGTTACATCCGAGACAGATGTAAAGAGCCTCTTTGCTAGACAGAGGCTCTAGGTTCCACTTAGAGCAGTCAGTCTGGAAGCCAGGAGACCTAGGGCCTAGGTTGTGTGACCTTGGGTGGGCTCTCTCCATCCACAACCTCAGTTTTTCCACCTGAGCAATGGAGATGGAAGGGTGCTAGATTCAATCAATGCACAAACATTCACCATCCGGTACAGGGGGGTGGGACCTGTCCTGCATGGGAGGCCTCCTCCCAGGTACTGATGGCCCCGGTGCTGTTTCCTGGCCCTCAGAGGCCTCACACCTTCACACCTGTCTCTGGATCTAGGCCTAGCCCCCAAGCTAGACAATCAGTGGGTGGGGCATAGGGAGCTGCAATGCTGGCAGTTTTTATTTTGTGATTCCCCCCAACCCCCAAAGGGCAACTCAAAGGCCATTCAGTTCAACACCCCTACCCATTTAAAGATGAGGAAACTGAAATGGTAGAGAGAGGAAAGGACTGACCCAAAGTTTAATCCATTCGTTATTTATTTATTGACACAGATGTTTATTGGGTGTCTTCTATATGCAAGTACCAGGCTTGCCACTGTGAAGACAAGAGTAGGAGTGGAGAATGACACCAGCCCTGTCCTCATAGAAGTTACATCCAGGACAAACTGGTATACCCAGAGGGAGCCTAGAGCTTGACCTTCAGCCTCTACCCAAAGCCAGGTTAGGCTTCTGTTCCCTTTGTCTCTCTGAGAGGCACAAATTGAACTGGCAAAGGATAGCTAGACTTTGGACAAGTGGACATGAGGGGGAAGGGCATCCCAGGTATAGGAGACTTTTGGGCAAAGGCACTGAGATTGGATCATGTGGGTTGGGTTTGGAGAGCAGGAAGGTCACCTCGTGTAACTGGACACTGGGTAGCTAACTAGAGGCAGGTCACAGAGGACCTGATATTGCTCTCTAGAAAATGGTGGCTGAAGGTGAGAAAATTGGACTGAGGACTGTCTGGGGAGGGTGAGAGTGGTCAGAAACTGGGTGGAGAAAATGGAGTCCCCGGGATAACGAGTGAGGCTTGGCGGGGTAGGGGGAGTCTCACTTTGAGATGACCGCAGGACCAGCAATGACTGAGGTGTTTCAACTGCAGCTTCAGGAGGTGAATCAGCACATCTCTACCCCCAAGTCGGCTGGACCACGGGACAGGCCTGGTCAGGATCCTGTCCCAGCTACACCATCCAATCTCCAGGACTTCAGATATTCTGGACTTTAGTTTTTCAATATGTGCAACGGTGTTTGTGTGGATCGAGAGCCCGGGACCTTCCAGCAGCAGGCTCCCGGGGTCTGCAGGATGGCGTCAGTGGCGGTAGAGCATTTCAGCACCAGACGGCGGACAGCACCCGGGTGGAAAAAAGGGGTGGGAAGAGGAGTAGTGCTGTCACTGCCGGGCCCGGCCTGGTTGGTGCTGTCACCAACACCTCCCAGGCAACCTGGGCTCCACGCCAGGACTTGGGGGAGTGTGAGGAAAGGGGGAGGAAAGCGAGCACTGAAAGCGGGGGGCAAAGACCAGGGGGCGGGGCTTGGTCAGAGCCTCACCGCCCCCTTCTCTCCTGGAGTACGTGCCGCGAGTGAAGATTCGTTCCCAGACCCCAGCAGCAGCCTGCCTACGGCTGGTGTCCACCTGGTGTCCGCCTGGTGTAGTCGTGGCAAGACTAGCATTAAGTTTCTACTGCGCAGGCGCGGAAGTAATTCTCAACGCTCTTCTACCTTAACCTGTCTATTGGCTGCTCCCTCCGAACCAGCAAACCCATTATCCAATCCGAGAGCGCCTTGTGTTGCTCCGCCTCTCACCCCTCCCGGAAGTTGACTACTGCCGAATCCGCTTCGGCGACGGATTGTCAGTAGCCAATTGGGAGAGGGGAGGGGCGTGCCGACGCCACCGAAGAGCCAATGGCAGGCGGCTCAGGATGACGCTACAGACATGGTGGCCGCGGTCGTGCAATCCGGGGACGTGTCCGGCTACTCTGTAACTTCGGTCGGTGCCCAGGGAGTGGAGCAGCTGCCTCATTAGTATTCGTACCCACGAGGCGGCGCAGCGAGCCCTCCGGGGGAGCGAGTGTCGCGGCAATGGCTTATCATTCAGGCTACGGAGTTCACGGTGCGTGGGGCGGGTGGGGCGCGGCCGACCCGCCTGTGGAGAGTCGGCGGCGCGACCCCTTCACCCTGAGGGAAAGGGGCGGCCGTGACCGCTGCCCAGGGTGGTGGGTGTCATTAGGGTTCCTGCCCAGCGCGACTCGACAACGCGTCCCGGACTTCGCCCTCTCGGCCCAATCCTGAGATCGCATAGTCACAGCACGGCTGGGATCCCCGTGCCCGACCCGGGCACGACTAGGGCCCGTCTCCAGAACTTCCTTTCCCTGTCATGGCCCTGGAGAGTCCCTGACCACAGCTCAGTCTTCGGGTACCCAGCTGTCGCCTTTCCCACATGTATTCATTTGAGGATGCCCTTGCAATTAATTGTCTTCTCCACCTAGCAAACCTACTCACTCTCCAAGGCTCAGTTCAGAGATCACTTCCCTTGAGAAGCCCCCAGGAACCCCCAGGTGGGCAGCCACTTCCAGGCACTGCCTCAGCTCTCTCTTTGCTTACACTTAGCACCTCGAAAAGGACCTCTGGGGAAGGGACGGTGGTTTGGGCTCTTGCTTAGTATTCCTGTCACCTACTTTGGTACTTACGAACCCACAGGCTCCAAGCACAGGGCCCGGGCAGCTCCAGATCCTCCTCCCCTCTTCGATGATACAAGCGGTGGTTACTCCAGCCAGCCAGGGGGATACCCAGTCCCAGGAGCTGATGTGGCCTTCAATGTCAACCACTTGTTTGGGGACCCAATGGCCAACGTGGCTATGGCCTATGGCAGTTCCATCGCATCCCATGGGAAGGACATGGTGCACAAGGAGGTGTGGCCCTCCCCCAGGGCAAGGGTGGCAGGATTTCTGGCCAGGGCTGGGGTGTCACAGGATCCCACCTAATCCTCACAGCAGCCCTCAGGGAAGGAGCACACAGAAGAGCACCCTGAAGTTTGGGGTGCAGCTTGCCCACAGCCTCCTCTCTCCTCTCCCAGCTGCACCGTTTTGTGTCTGTCAACAAACTCAAGTATTTTTTTGCTGTGGACACAGCCTATGTGGCCAAGAAGCTAGGGCTACTGGTCTTCCCCTACACACACCAGGTGAGCTGGCAGGCCCCCTTGCCTCCTTCATCCTGCCCCAGAGTCTGGCCCCCATACCTCAACCCTCTTCTTTTCTCTCTTCTTACCTTTTCCTCCTGACCTGACCGCCACTGCCATTGCCAGAATTGGGAAGTGCAGTACAGTCGTGACGTCCCTCTGCCCCCACGACAAGACCTCAACGCCCCTGACCTCTATATTCCCAGTGAGTCTTTGACCTGGACTGGGGGATGTGGTGGGGAACTTGTGTCTTGAGGTACCAATGAGGAGTGGTTCATGTGTTGATTCAGCATCTGCCCTTGGTGCTTTTGTGTGTGGTCGTCGCTAGGTACCAGGTAGACAGCGGGGTGATCAGTAAGGAGTTTCCTGGGTGTGCCTTCAGTGACCTCAAGGTACACCCTTTTGACACCTTCCTGCCTCCTGACTTGGACTGTGTCCTTGCCCAGCCTGGAGCCTTGGATTTAGACCTGGCCCTGCACCTTCCAGCTGTGGGACCTCAGGCTAGTTACTTTCACTCTTCTGTAAAACGGAAATAATAACAATCCCTACTGCAAAGGATTGTTGTGGAGGCTTAGTGAGGTGGCATGCACTCAGCACAGCACCTGACCCATGGAAGCATGCAGTAAATAGTAGCTGTTATCATCATTACTTGTCCCCCAAGGCCTGCTCAAACACCCCCTCCCTTCTGAGTTCCTAGACTGCCTGTCCACATGGCACAGGTCAGGCTGCCCACACTCTGCTGTAGTTGTGGCTGGCAGACTGCATCTGATTCCTCCCTGTTCTGTGGCCTGCACAAGGCGAGGCCCATGGTGGACACACTGGGAGACGGGTGAGAGTGCCCAGGCCTGCCCTCAGAGGAGCTGCTGGGAGGGCAGCTAGCCAGCCCTGATGTCCCAGCAGGGACATGGGTTCTTCTTCCATCCTTCATTCCTTTCCCTCTCACGACCACCGTGTAAGGTGGGAACTCCATTCTCAGTTAACATGGTGAAACAAAGACCCAGAGACTTGAGTATCTTCGAAGCCACACAGCTTACAGGTGGTAGAGCTGGTTTCCTGACTCCAGACACTGCCCTCTGGTGGGCACATTAGTTCTGATGCGTTGAAGCTGTGAAAGCGCAGCTGGCGCTGGCTCTGAGCTTTTGTGAAAACAGTTCATTGTGGAGCTCTCTGCATTGGCAGGGTGGCCAGAGCGGTAGCTCTCACCAGTGCCCAAACTTAGAATTTCTGGCTCCAGTAAGGTCGACCCCATGGCCTGGGCTCCAGGGACAGCCTGGGTGGTGCGCCCAGCCTGCACTTTGGTCCTGTGGTCTTTCCTGAAACCAGTTTGGCCCTGACAGTGGGTCTAGGATGAGCAGTAGTTTTGACCAGTGCTGTAGTTTGAGACACAGCAGGAAACTTTGGTGCGTTTCCCAGCGCAGGGACAGTAAGGCAGGTGCTTGGTGGTCCTGAGAAAAGGGTCAGGTGGCATTTACACAGGGGTAGTGGGCTGAACTGGGAATGGCATCCTAGGCAGGGCACTGGCGGGCTGAGTGTGAAGGTTGGCCAGGTTGGGATATGCAGGGAAGGAAATATGAAGGGGAAATAGGGGGTGTCTGTGGTCTCAAATGCCTAGTTGGGGAGGGGCTCTGGTTGAGGAAACCAGACTAATGGCATCTCTCTGGCTCTTGGCAGCAATGGCCTTCATCACCTATGTGTTGCTGGCTGGGATGGCACTGGGGATTCAGAAAAGGTCAGTGCCAACCCCCTCCCCATTCCTGCTCTTCTCCACAGCATCTTAGGGGATCTGTGTTAGGTCCCAAACCCACTCCCAGCCCCCAGTCTTATCCTTTCCACAGGATGGCTGGTTCTCAGTCCCCTCCGCCCTATCCCCACATGGCCACAGGTTCTCCCCAGAGGTGCTGGGCCTGTGTGCAAGCACAGCGCTGGTGTGGATCGTGCTGGAGGTGCTAGCCCTGCTCCTGGGTGTCTACCTGGCCACCGTGCGCAGTGACCTGAGCACCTTCCACCTGCTGGCCTACAGTGGCTACAAATATGTCGGGTGAGCACCTGGGAGCCAGGTGGGAGGTTGGCCTTGGGGAGGGCTCTGTGCCCTGGGTTCCCTGCATAGCAGTAGCCTGGAATGGTGACCCTGAACATGCCTCTGCCCCTCTCTTGGCCTGTATCTCCTCTGTTACAGAGGATCCGGCTCTTTCTAGCAGTCTCTTCAGGAACTGTGTAGTGTTGTTCAGGAGGTCAGGAATGTACAGTCAGCCACCCTGGGAGCACAGGGGAGAAGGGCCTTGAGCTAGGGTAGTGGAGGAGGTCTCAGATCCAGGTCCTGGGCTGAGTCCTGGGCCTTCCAGATTCATTCTGAGTCTAAGTGTTCTAGGTGGTGGTGGGTGGGGTCTATGCTGGGCTCGGCCCTGGCTGGTAGGGCCAGTCTCAGGCCTGGACCCCTGGGGGTTGCCAGCATTTTCCTCATTCTTGGCCCTGCAGGATGATCCTCAGTGTGCTCACAGGGCTGCTCTTTGGCAGCGATGGCTACTACGTGGCACTGGCCTGGACTTCATCGGCACTCATGTACTTCATCGTGAGTCTGGGCTGCCCCTGCCCCCTCTTCCTGGGTTGGAGTTAGGATTGAGCCCTCCGCTGCCCCCAGCTCGACTTCAGCTCTCTTTTCTTCCAGGTGCGCTCTTTGCGAACAGCGGCCCTGGGCCCCGACAGCATGGGGGACCCGGCCCCCCGGCAGCGTCTCCAGCTCTACCTGACTCTGGGAGCTGCAGCCTTCCAGCCCCTCATCATATACTGGCTGACTTTCCACCTGGTCCGGTGACCCCTGGCCCCCACTGGCACTGATTTTTCCATACATTGAAGATTTGATTTCCTTGATTTTGTTTGACCCTGTTTTGGGGCCTGAGGGGGAGTTGATGACCCTTTGGGCCTCTACAGTGTCCAGGGGAACAGGTTTGATACTGTCTAGAAGAAGGGGGACCCAGGGAGGGCGTCCTGGGTTGGTGACCTTGATACTACCTTGAAAGGCCAGTGGAAGAGTTTCATTAGGAACAGCTATTATCTGTGTCTGGGGAGGTGGCAATGGAAGGGGGAAGCTGCCACGGAGATCCTGAAGGCCTCTGATCCATCTGAGGGGGTCCCCAGAGAGACCTGTAGGCTGGGGGGGCAAGCCTAGCTGTGCTAGGGGTTTAGCTCCCTTGTACAGTCCCTTTGCCCCATCTCCTCTTAGAGCCTTTCAGGAGCAGAACTGGGGCCCATGTGTATGCAGTAGTTTATTCATATTTTGTCACAAATGGCCGGGGAGGGGGTGCCGGACTCCTCCAGGCAACATAGAAAATAGGTCCAAGAGACAGAGTGGGCTGGGGTTGGGGCAAGTGGGGACAGGAAGGAGTCTGAAGAGAGCCTGGGGAGGGGAGAGGGCAGACTAGGGGTGGGACTGCCCCCCTGCTGAGCCTGCTCATTCTGGGTGCGGGTACCCCCCCACCTGCAGGGGGAGCCTCAGGGTAGGGGTGCAGGGGGGTGGCCCAGAACTTCCAGGGTTAAGCCCTGTCTCTTGGCAGGGCCCAAGGTCCCCCTCAAAGTGGACAAGGCCAGAGGTTCCACCCCTTCCAGGACTGACTGCCATGCTCCCAGGCTGGCAGAAGAGCTCCTGCCCCATTTAGAGCTCTGCCCAGCCCTAGTCCAAGGGAAATGGGCTCTGAAGGCGGGAGGTCCCCGCAGCAGCAGTTTGGGGGGTGGAGAGGAGGCTGGGGGCACCAGTGCCCCTTCCCTCCCCAGGGCTGAGGCCTCTGCGGCCGAGGAGCAGGGCTGGGGGTGCACAGGCGTCCGGTCCGTTCTGGGCTCGCTCCCTGGCCGGCTTCCCCCTTAGAAACTCACCAGCGTATAAACCATACTGTGGGAAGACAAGGCAGTAAGCCAGGTCCTGAGCAGGCCCAGCTACTGGCTGCCCATCCTGTCACACCCTGGGTTGCTCTCAGTCCTCAAGGGCAAAGGGCAAGAACTTGGAGCTCAACCACTTCTGGGATTGAAGGCATGGTGCCTGGAGCACCCCTTCCCTGACTTCTGACTGCTAACGTGCAGGGCCTCACCTGTACAGGTAATAGAAGAAGGAGAGCAGGTAGAAGGCGAGTTTGCACCAGGACTCCTTCTGGCAGTAGTTGAGGATGTCAGCATTCATGATGGAGACTGCATCATACATGACCTCAGAGCCATCCGCAGGGCGGTGGAAGTACCTGGGGGAGGGAGGGGCCTGAGTGCCCGCCATCAAGGCCCCCACCCCCATCCTGCCCCTGCTCCCCGTTTCACCCTCCCTCAGGCAGCTGCTTCCCTCACCTCCAGAGGTGGTAGAAGAGGAGGGGGATGTTGAGGCCCAGGGTCACCCACTCTGCCGCACACAGAAACATCAGACAGAAGAGGCCGTGGATGGAATATTCTGGGACCACCAGCTGGGGAGTGAGGGTAAGAGGTCAGTGGCCTGGTGCCAGGACAAACCCAAGCTTCACAGGCACGAAGGGGAGCAGGGGTTTGGAAACTGCCCACCCACCATGACCTCAGAACTAAAGGGCTCTAGCCTCCCACTCCCTCCCAAGTAGTAGAGTGGATCAAACAGGCTCCGGAGGGGGAAGGGCACAGAAAGGGGCTGAGTTGGGCTAGGAGCCTCCTGCCCGCAACCCTGACACTGACCTTCCTCAGGAGGCAGCAGATGCGTTCGATGTTTTTTAAACGCTCGCGCTGTAGGGGGAGGAAAAAGCCGAGATGGGGATAGGGGAAGTGGAGGAACAGGTATTGGGGGTGCCCCACCATCCTCCCGTACGCCTGCACTGCCCTGCATGTGAACGCCAGGGGGCACCAGAGCAGTCTCTGCGGCGTTGTCGGCTCGGCAGGGAAGCAGCCACACCATCCCCATGGCAACCGTCACCATGGAGGGACCTTCACCCGCGTCACCACGGCAACGGCACAGAGCCTGGCAACGGCTGCCCCGCCAGGTGTTTTCTGGGGGTAAGGACAGAGGAAGGGGCAAGGCCGCAGGTCCCAGCCTCCCACACACAGACCCGTCTTCCCGTCCCCTAATCCCCTTATCCCACAACAGATGGAAAGACAGACGGACTGACACACCTCGGCACAGCACATGTATCACTTACTGCCCGCGCTGGGTTCCCCTGGTCGATTGGGTTCTTGAAGTCGGTCCGCAGCTCGTCAAAGGCTATGATCTGGGGGAGGGGCATGTGTCTGTCAGGGTTGGGGCAGCAGCTTACGGCCCCCCACCCATCCTTCTGTGGGACAGTAATTCATACATGGGGGCCAGACCAGATGGAGCTTGCTGCAAAAGTGGAGAAACTAAGGCCTAGGGAGGGGCGGGGACTACCCGGTCTGGAATGGAAGCCTGGTGATGCCCAATACAGGCCATGTCCAAGATACCTACATGCGAAACACCCTGAGATGTCTTCTCTGCCGACCCCTGTCCTGAGCACTGGGGCCCCATAGGCCTGGAACACAGCCCCAGCCCAGGCAGAACCCCAGGCTTGTGAGAACTGTGACTACATTCCAGGGTGATCAGGGCTGTAGGGCACAGGGAGAATCTGAAGTGGGTGCCTGACCCATTGTGGGGGTGATGCGGGGTTCTGGCTGAACTCTGAGTAGGTGTTTGTCTGGTGAACAAATGGGGGGGGCAGTCTGAGCAGCAGGAACAGAGGTTCAAAGGCAGAGGGTTGAAAGAATACTCAGGAAGCTGCAGATTCTATGGGGCTAGAATGAAAGTGTGAGGTGAATGGACAGAGAAGAAAATGGTGAAAGATGGGCTGGAGAGGTCAGCAGAGCCAGACATGGGTGCCCTGTGAGGCTGGACCAGTTATTTGAACTTTAACATAAAAGTAATGGGGAGCTGCCCGGCCTGTGTGGCTCAGTGGTTGAGCGTCGACCCATGCACCAAGAGGTCACCAGTTTGATCCCTGTCAGGGCACATGCCCAGATTGTGGGCCTGATCCCCAGTGGGGGGCATGCAGGAGGCAGCCAATCGATGTTCTCTCTCATTAATGTTTCTATCTCTCCCTCCCTCCCTCTCTAAAATCAATAAGGGGAAAAAAAAGTAGTGGGGAGCCATTGAGGGATATAATGTAGCAGAGTGGGGTGGTCAGGTTGATGTTGTAGAATTGGAGCAGGAATTACAAACTGGCTAACAGTTCCAGCCAAGACATACATGGTGCTTACTCTATCCCAGCAGACTTTATGTTTAAGAACTCATTTAATGCTTACAACAACCTGATGATATAGGTATTATCATTTCCATTTTGCAAATGAGGAAACTGAGACAGAGAAGTTAAGTGACTAGTCCAAGGCCACACAGCTCAGTAGCAAGTCAGGATTCTAACTCAAGACGCTAGAGTTAAAATCTTTAACCATTTTGCGCTGGCCAGTTTGGCTCAGTGATTGGAGCATCAGCCTGCGGACCAAAGGGTTGCAGGTTCGCTTCTCATCAAGGATATGTACCTGGGTTGCAGTTTTGATCCCCGGCCCTGGTCAGGGTTGTGCAGGAGGCAACCAATTGATGTGTCTCTCTCACATAGATGTTTCTCTCTCTCCCTCCCTCCCTTCCACTCTATCCAAAAAAATCAATGGAAAAATATCCTCGGGTGACTATTAACACGACAAAAATAATCCTTAACCATTTTATCATATTCAGGACAGATCAATGAGAGGACTGTTAAGAGTGTTTGGCATTGTCCGGCTGGTGTAGCTCAGTGGTTGAGTGGCGACCCATGAACCAAGAGGTTGCCGGTTTGATTCCCGGTCAGGACACATGCCCAGGTTGTGGGCCCGATCCCCAGTGGTGGGCATACAGGAGGCCACCAATCGATGTTCTCTCTCATTGATGTTTCTATCTCTCTCTCCCTCTCATTTCCTCTCTCTCTAAAATCAATAAAGAAAAAAAAAATTAAAAATAAAAAAGTGTTTGGCGTTGATGGTGATCTGAGTGGAGAGAGTGGCAGTGGGGATGTAGAGGTGTGGATGGATTCCAGAGCTGTTTAGAAGCCAGACTCCTGAGGGCTTGAATAGCAGTGAAGTGGAGGCAGAAGGGCCTAAGATCCCTTTGGATATTAGGGCACCTGGTGGGGCAGTATCCTCACTGGGACGGGGAACTTGGGGGGAGCAGGTGTTTGAGGGGATGATGGGACAGACCTGGGGGGAGCTGGCATGGGGGGAGGGCTGGCAGAGGAGCCTTCTGGGGTCCCCATTCCTCTGCAGCAGCCTTAGGATGAGGCAGCAGGCCCACCATGCCCAAGCAGCCCAGACCCCAGACAGCTGGGAGGGAGAGAACATGGGCTTCCTGAAGGGAGCTGGGACCATCTGGAGCAGCACCCCCAATTCCCTATTGACTCTGGGCAGCCACCTGCCTGCCAGGCACAGCAACAGAGTCCGGCAGGGAGTAAAATGGTGCTGTCTGTCTGCCCCAGAGCTGGCACCACCAGCAGGAGGCGGGTGTCTCGCCTCCCACCCCCCAGACTGCCTGGCACTGAGTCAGCACCCCCACCCCGGAACAAACAATCCCCCACGGTGACAGCTGACACACATCACTCACCATCAGGGTTGCCTAGCGACCAGTTGGGCTTAAGCTCAGGGTGTGGGGTGGTATCTGGGGTCCTGCACTGGAAGGTTCTAGTTCTTACAATTTGGACTGAGAACCACACCTCCTGTCCCCTCCCCATCCCGAGCAGGCCCTGCTCTGGGCACTGTAATGTACACACCACAAGCCCATTTTACCGACAAGGAAACAAACTCAATGAAGGACTTGCTAAGATCACCCAGCTAGATAGCTGAGCCAACACAGTGCCTGACACATAACAGGTGCACAATAAATATTTGAAGAAAGCTTGAGCCCC